GTACCCACTGCAACGGATTCTGGTATTTTAAGGTTAATTTCCTGCGTTTGGAAACGAGGAACATTGTCGTTAATGTCTCTGATTTCTACTTCAATTCGATGCAATTGCAGGGGATTTTCCACCACAACCTGCAGAGGGAGCACACAGTTGGCGCTTTGTCCACACAAAGCCTCTCTGTCTATTCTGTCGCTGACCAGCAGCTCGCCCTTCCCCGCATCCACGCTGAAATACTGCTTACCAGCCTCGGAGGCGACACGCAGCTTGCGCTCAAATATCTCAGACAGCCCCAAAGACAGATCTTTGGCCAGATTCCCCACCACGGAACCTTGCTTGAGCTCCTCTGGGATGCTGTAACGAGTCTGCGCATCCACTGTAGTCCACATGAGAAAATGCCACAAAAGAGCTCGCCATCGCCAGTCTCGGTTTCCTATTGTCTTTGTCATCCTTGCTCCCTATGATGCAAAAATCCTTCTCAACATCCTCTTCACGGCATTTGCTCCATCCACACAAATGGAGGATATTTCTATAAAAAAACACCTCAAGCCATCACGGCACAAATGCCGAAGAATAATTCGTTTCAATGTTAAAAAAAAAATCGAGCTGATTCCTTTCTGTCTGTGCCTCAGCTCAGTGCATTCGACGTGTGAGATGAAGCTGTGTGCAGGGGGCAGGGACCAGATTGCTTTGTACAGTCTTCAATTCTATTGGTTCACGGCTCGCACTTCCACCAACGAATCAGAGGGACGCTGATCCTCATTCACTCTTAAAGTCACAGCATTCTCCCCTCTTTCTGAAGTATTATCAGTGTTTTCCGGGCTAATTGTAAGGTTAGAGCTTTTTCAATTTTTATTTATTAATGTTGGTCATTTTATACGCACCCAAATCATTCTCAATATCAGAAATATTTCAAAGATGCATTGAAATGACACAAATACCAGACGGAATTTAGTTCAGCAGCATATAAATAAATCAGAAAAAGAAAAACATGTTTTTCTGCTAAAACGTTGCATTCGGCGTCACTTTCCACTCTTACATGGGTGCTGAATATTTTCTGAGAGGAGTATCATTTACAGTTCCACCTAAATTTGCTAACTTCAAATCGTAAAACATGCAAACTAGGCTTTTAGTTCAAGAAAGGAAATCAACTTTTAATGTCAACACTAGTTTAATTACTCTCAGAGTGTCTATTATGATACTGCTGAATTATTTCTTTCGGGATTGGTGTGTTCATCTTGTACTTAAGTTTACTACAACAAAATGTAATCACTTTATGACCATCACTTAATGTTTATCAGTTGTGTGGCAGATGAGCATGCATTCCTGAGAAAATCAGTTGGAACACATGAACCAATGTCAACCAAAATGAAAGGAGAATAATAAAAACAAACAAAAAAAAAACACCTGAAGAAACTACACTGTGATGCGAGCAGCGTGACTAATCATCCTGCGTCTCCGACAAATCATAACAATTAAATTGTTGTGTGGCAGATGAGCATGCATTCCTGAGAAAATCAGTTGGTCAACCAAAATGAAAGGAGAATAATAAAAACAAACAAAAAAAAAACACCTGAAGAAACTACACTGTGATGCGAGCAGCGTGACTAATCATCCTGCGTCTTCGACAAATCATAACAATTAAATTGTGTCGATACATGATGGGAAAGAAGGCAAATAAACCACTTTTCAACCGTAGTCAGGGGTGTCAAACAAAAACCTGAAGTTTCCACATTCCAAACTAAATTTATGCTGTGATTACAACAGGCATGCTACACAAAAGTGAGAAGCAAAACATTCGCCAAAGCAACTCGAGACCAGGTTGTGAAGCTGTTGGCAAAAACATTTCGCCCTTAATATCAAATTCAAAGGAAATTAATGAGAAAAACATTTGTATGGGAAAATTTGAAGTTCGTTGTAACACTGCAGAATTATTCCCATAACAGACGTGAAAACTGTGCAACAGCTTTCTTCATTCAAACCGTAAAATGTGGCTGCAGCAATATAAAGTCGGCATAAGTGATAAGAAGACCGACAAAAGCTATTGTTGTAGATGAGAATGGATCACGACTGTACAAAAATAAGGGAAACGTTTAAATTGCAATGAGTGGAGTGCTCCGAGTTCCCCTTGAGTGCAAACCAAAGTAGCACTCACCTGCTGGCTCTCAAAGGTCCAGGTGCTGTCAGGCAAAGAAGCATCCAGGACGCTGATGACCTCCTTAAAGTCAGTGGTGCTACTGGGCTTGACCAACGTGAAATCACTGTACTCCGACATGGGAGACATGCACGACCGGAAGGAGTGACTCTGAGACATGACGTCTCCTCCCAGAACCTCCACGTACTTGATGGGTCCATCGGTGTTGAGCTGAATGTGCAGATTTCTGTTGGGCTTCTTGTCCTCATCGGAGAGTGTCCGCCGCACGCAGCAAGTGGCGCCGCTCGTGCTGCTCTTCACGCATTTGACGCCCAAGACGAGCAAAGTGAGCAGAGAGAGCACGGACACCGAGGCCAGAGCCACGATCAAATAAAGCGTGATCCTGCCGCCTTTCTTGCCGGGCTCGGACGCCTTGTGTCTCAGCTCCAACACGGGCTCGCTCACGCCGTCCTCCAGCAGGATGGACAGCGTGACGGTGGCCGACTGGACCGGCTCCCCGTCGTCCTTGACTTCGACGATCAGCCTCTGAGAGGAGTCGTCGTGCTCGTACACGGTGCGTTTGGTCCTCACCTCCCCCGTGTACAACTTGATCGTGAACAGAGAGGCGTCAGTGGGCCC